TTATTGTCTTGCTCAAAAAGGATATCGTCTGGCAGTACTCAGTGTGTCACCCTTACTTGTGATGAAAAAATTTTTACCCATCTGCTTGTAAACCTGGAATTTAACAGGAAAAACTCAGAATGAGCTTCCCCTGTTTCATCTGTTAATAGCAATTACTCCTAACTGGACACAGGCTAGCCTTGCTGCGATTTCATGGGAAGTTTGGAATATACATGACATTAAAATGGCTCTGTGTGTAACAGACCTGACTGCAAAGGGAACAGATCCTTTAACTTCTGTGAAGGACTATCTACGTGGGGAAGCCCATCTCATAGACAGCATCCCTGGGGTGGGTCTCTTGTCCAGTTGCATTAGTGATCTTGCTAGTGTCAAGAGCGAGAGACTTGGGCAACAAACCATAAAGCTCAGCTGGTTAAGATAAAGGCAACATGGTCATGGCATGAACATCTTCTCCGTTACAGCAGGTATGAATTGCTCCTCAGGCATCAGGATTTCTTGTTCTAAAGAGCCTACACCTAATACATACATATAAACAATTTTCTTACACAGTATGGATTAACTCCACCACAGAATACAGAAAAGTCGTGTGTCAGCATCCCTGTAAAAGCCTTTTATGGAATACTAAATCCAAGCTGCTGAAACGTTGCAGGAGGATTGCTAGAGGCTATCGTTCACAGACGATGTTTCTAAGAGCTCTTTTCTTCTGCCACAGCTGGCACCTACTTTTTTCTGCGTCAATAACGTTTTCACAAACAGGCCAAAAATGCAAATGCTCATTTAAAAATTAAAGGTAGCAAGATCACATTGACTGATGAGCAGTGCATATTCTCTGAGTTCAGTGGAACAAACAGCATATGTAAACATCTCCTGACACTCGTTCCTGGAAGGAGTTGTCTTCACAGGGGTACCTACATACCAGATGACGTAAGGCAGATGGTGTTGAACTGGTGGCTTTGTGCCACTCTTCAGAATTAGATATTAAATGAGAATTGCATTCACTTCAGTCAGCAGTCAGTATGTTTTCAACTGGCATGAAACACGGACTGTCATCCGCATACACTTGCTAATTGAACTACGGGTCATTATAAAGAGTTACTGTATTTAATCTGGAAACTATCACTGTTTTAATTCCTTTATACCGGCGTGGATGTGAGAACACATCTGCATTGAACCTGCTTCTGTAAAAAGTGCAGACTGTCGCGTGTTGGGGACACTGGTGTAACTCACTTGCCTCCAGAAAGTCGGCTTGGGCCATGCTTTTCACTCCACCCCGCATTGCGCGAGGCAGGAGGTCTCACCAGGGCCATGTTTGCAGAACTGATTGATTGCACGTGTTCAGGCACAGAAGCAGTCACGAACCACATGGGTGAAGCGGATGCTGTAATATTTTTTCATGAGCCAAACTCAGGCGTAGTGTGATTTTGTGGTTGAGACAGGAACACATTAATGTTGCCCGAGCTCCAAATAATGGCCGTATTCACAGTGCTGACCAGCAATTTGCCATGTTGGAGCATTACAGTCAGTCACCAGCGGCTTCCAAGAGTTACCATACACTGTAGTTAGGACAGCTACCCTGGAAAGGCACACAGTATTTCTCTCCAAATCATGAAATAACGTTTGTCATCACTGCACAAGCTTATCCAGCTATCATACGTGGAATGTACTGATGTGAACACTGTTATGAAACTTGTTTGTTCTTCATTGCTATTGTCCTTGGCCGCCGTGCCCTCCCTCTGTAAAAGGAGTAGCTACACTAGGATTACGTACACTGTGCTATTTTGCCTTCTTTATCTGCTAATAAATTACAGATTCATCAAGAAGTGATTTTTAAACTGAAGAAGTAGAAAGTAGATCAGTCTATCAGCAAATTGATCTGAAATATTCCTGGTTTGTTATTATTTTATTTGACTAAGGCTATGGCCCAGATTACTCAACCCTCTATGTACACTGAATGCTTCCTCAGGTGAACCATCCTAACCCCACTGGAAATAACACCGAGGCAATTTCTCCTGCCAGAAGACTTGTCTTAGAAGCGGTCCCTGTAGTGCACAAGAGGTCTTCCCATCTGTGCAGGATGCCTGACTTTTGGCAGAACAACATGAGACCTGCTGCTCCTCCCGGCAGGAATCTGGCTAGCACCTGTGGGCCTTTGCTCATTCGAGTGATTTTTGTCTCGCTGTACTCATCTAGTGTCAAATAAGATAATTTATCAAGTAATGTGATCCTAGGTAGCATCTGTAACTGTGTGTTATTATTACTCATTCTTTTAGTGGTGTGCGATTGTTTTTCCAAGGTGCGCGGTATCATTCTGTGTATGACTGAGCAGAGGACTCTTAAAAAGCAGACTAATGAGCACTCCGCAGTTTATGCTTGTTCTTGTTGTTTTCTTCTAAAAGCTCGTTTACTTGTGATTCTGTTTCCCCACAATCAAAATGATTTGAACTTCGATCTAATCAATCCAAAGAGAGCACAACAAAAGAAAGGCCCTCGAAGTGAATGGATCTCCGTGGCAATTTCGTAAGCGTGCTCTCCTGCTTGAACAGCTTTAATGATCTGCCAGTAAAAATTACAAATAGTTTTACTTTGTCCCACTTGCAACAAATGAAAAGTTTATTATCACAGGTTTGGATGAGAGAAATATTTGATCTTTCCTATCATTACTGAATTATCTAGTTTTTCTGTGTTGATCTATTAAAAGTTAAGACACGTCACAGTGACCGTGGCACTAAGCACTCTTTAATTTTATACACAAAACATAAAATCATCTACTGGATCAACGTCCTCGTATGACATCAGGACTATTTAAAAAGCTGCTTGCAATTTTCAAAGATTATTTGGGACAATGTAGGAAACGGTTTTCCAGGAAGTAGTGGTAATCCTTCTTCTATCCTATTTTTACTCAAAAATGCAGACAGAAGACGGGGAGAGGGGTGTGTGTGTGTGGTTTCTCCTTTACAGAAAGAAGTTTGTAAATTAGTTTGTTCATCAGTTTGATCCTAAAATTAGATTTCTGCTGTCCCGAAGTTCTTTCCACTGCAACTAAATACCACTTACAAAGGAAATAAAGGATCAAAAATTACAGTCTAGAAAATCAGATGGAAACAGTTTTTGTATTTTTGGTACTAAGGCTACTTACTTTTCCTACACTGGCAAGAAAAAGAACTCGATGATTTAAGGAGAGTCTTCCATCCTCCTTTTCTTGGACTCTGTTAGCATAATAAAACATTTTACTTCCCAAATTGGAATTACATAGGCTAATAACCCCTGAAATCAACAGTATCTCTTGCACTTTGGAGTTTCCCAAAATCTCCATTAGTTAGTTGAATGATGAAGGTCACCTGCTATAAATATATCTGCTTCATAGCATTTTTCTATGCAAATACATAACTCTTTATTGAAATCACAAGGACTGTAGAGGTGGCCGCTAACAACAGCAAACATGTTTTAAGCTGACAGCATCCTGAAAACCAGGCTGTGCATGGGGTTGGGATGCTCTGTAAGTGTGGGAGACACAAATACTGTCAAGAGGATATCCTTCAGTCAAGTTCTATCTATGAGAATATGTTTTCATAGAACCTTCATTTAAGGAGTGAGAACGCTGCAGGCAGAGAAGCTTCCCTGCCGCAGAGAATGCAATGAAGAGCTCTGTGTGTACACAGTAAAGTTGTTACGGCCTTTTTATTTGCAGTGGATCAGAGAGGAGCATCTTTATTAGCCTTATTCAGAGATCATTCAGGTCAATGGACAGATTCCCTTAAGCTTCCAGGGCTTTTGTGTAAAAGGAATAGACAAATGCCTACCGCCAATAATGACCAATGGCATAGTGGACCGTTTTGAGTGGGGAATGTGTAATATGTACATATAACAAATCTGCTTACAGGAGATATATTTTTGTATACTATATGATTTTTCTGGTAAGCAGAAACCATAGCATATGCTTGATTTATTTCCCATCTGACTTTATTTCCTCATATCTTGACAAACATAACAGACTGAAACATGGAGCTATTTATTTTCTGCTCTGTTACAAAAAGATACGTTACTTTGATGCCCAGAAAATACATTAAACATTCATTTATTTGTGAGAGCTTCGTTATATTATTACATATGCCTTGGTTTGGTGTGTAGGAAGTGTACAGTTTAACATGCTGATTTTACTACCAATTTTAAAAAGGTATGGAGCTTTACTCTGGAATAGACAGGAGATACAGGTCTGAGTTTCCCATGTATTGCTGAGGACAGATGAGATTGGAATCTAAGCAATATGCCTTATCCTTGTAAGAGGTTAATTTCAGTGAGAGGTATTTGTTTCATTAGAATCAAGCATAATCTTACAATCAACTAATAAGCACAAAAAAGGAGTATTTTTTTAATATGTGCAATAGCTTGTTAGTCTGTTACTATTTTTAATTCCTTTTGCACTTCCTCTTGTAGCTGTAGCTGAATGGCACTTTTTAAATATCCGGGCTAAACTTTTCAGAAATGATCAGCAATTCTGGGTGCCTGTTCTGAGTTATCCTACTGGCGTCCAAAGGCAAATACTTGGCACTTTCTGACAATCTGACTCCTTCAAGGTAGTTAATATTGAGGTGAAATTACTAATCCTTACCAAACTTATTCCATCCAAAGATACCATATATTCGTCCCGATGAACTCTGACATCTATTTTGTTCCACGTCCTCAGTCGCTCTGGTTATCCGGCCAAGGAGCAACAGTTAAGATCTGCCTAAACATTTAGAAAAGTTTTAAATTTCACTAGGCAGCTGAGCACTTTTACACACTACTTATACAGACAACTACTACATCAGGCTCACTTAATTTGCTCCACCCTATGTCTAATCAACATAATAGCTTCTTATTTGTCTTAAACTATAAACCAAATATTTAAAAATAAAACAAAAATACCACTACTGGGTTTTACAAACAAGTATATGACATAATAGTTTGTGGTAATGATTTAGGTTGGAGCGGCTTGCTTGTCTGGGATTTTAAATGCTCTCTCAGAACCAGTACTTGGAGACAAAGATGTGAACATTGACAATGTTACGATGAGATACCACTCCACCCATGACGTAGTTCATCTCCAGTTTCAGGATGGCATGGAAAGGTCCAACAATGGGCTTCACCTGGCGAACTACACCTGTTGGGATAGAAATGGGTTGCTGACATTAATAGGGGAATCAGAAGCGTTTGGATGAGCTCCACCCTGCTCCATTTCAGCAAGAGAACAACTCCCCTTCATTTTCAGTATCGCTGATGGAAAGCTATTTTATCCCTTGGATCCATAGATGGCTTGCAAGAAAGTTTGCAAAGTAAGAACACAATACAACTTTTGAATCAAAGTACCTTGCAGAAGCTCCAAGAAGAGCACTAAAATGTTGTAATGGCAGAAAAACTATATATTCTGAAATGAGAAAATTTTTTTTTTATCTTTTATTCAGAGCAATAAACTGTTTGAGAAGTCTGTGACACTGCTTTTTAAGTTGGACATAAGGAGACTTTCCCCAGGTAAGCCAGCACACGCATTGCCCTGAGGAGTACGTAAGCACGCACGCCTGGGGATGCCATGCAATTTCTGGTACTGTGCTGAAAACCACATTTCATCTGGAACAGCAGAAATTATTTGTAATGGCAATTACGATGCGGCAATAAAATCAGCACTTACCCTGTAAATATCTGATAACACTAATTTGTAAATTGACAGTGTGTTGCATTGTGGATGGATAACCCCACTGGAAACAATCGGAATAAAAGCAGGTTTAATGAGTTTAATGAGGAAAGGGGGACTATCACAGCGCCTGTCCCTGCGTCGTTCCTCACATGGACGGTGGCCATTCCCCTCACCAACACCAGGGGTTGATAATGAGGAAGGAAGTGGTAAAGGAGGAGCGAGCTCTCTCCTTTAGGGCTCTGGTCTTTCCGTTTGTTTTACATAGAGGAGCGCCAGTGCCGGGGCGCAGCAGGATGGGGACTGCTGGGGGATCAGGAGGGGGGTGGCAGGGCAGGGCTTCTCCAGCTAGGGCTTGTCCCACCACCCCAGCCAGACAGCAGGGCAGACCAGGGAGCAGCCAGGTTCAACCAAGGGCCAGATCACCGGGGAACTTCATGGTGGTGACGCAGGGCCAAAATCAAACCAGGAAGGCGACGCATGGCTCAAGTCCAGAACAAGAGGACCCACAACTGTGATGGAGCCGGAGACCGGCTCCCTTCCAGCACAGGTCAGGCAGGGACTGAGGCTGAAATGGGGCTCCTGGCCTCTGGGCAGAGCAAGGCAGAGGACCCAGGGGAAGCCATAAGGTCTTATCAGTGCCTTGACACGATGTGGCTAAACATGGTAGCGTTACAGCTTCACACCTACACAAAAGAAAGTCAATGGGAGCTTTGCCATTGACCCCAAAGGCTTGGGATCGGACTGTAAACATGTTGTCACTTCACGGTTGTTTTCTAGGTCTGGTGTTACTAGAGCAGGGAGCTACCACACAGCTCACGTTTGAAAGGATGTATCCGAAATGTCAAAATCATGTAAAGCCGAGGTCAGCCAACAGGCACAGAGAGTCTGGCAGAGGCCCCCTCCTCAGACCCCTCCTGCTGACAACAGCCTTATCTGACAGGGCATTTGATTCAGAAGGAAATGCACAGTTTAAGAAAGGATTATTTGAGGCGTATTCCCGCTGCAGGCTGGGGGTTATGTTTCACAAGCAGGCAGCACACCAGCGCCTTCCCGGGTTCCCAGCCGAGCTCCTACAGCAGTCCCCTACGAACACTTTGGCTTGAGATCTGATGGGAGAGATAAACGTTTGCTTATGCAGGCTGTCAGCACCTTTTTCTAAGGCAGTAATGACATTACAGTTTTGTCCTGTTTAAATACCAACTAATATTTTCAGCATGCAGTAAAATTGCAAACTTTTCACCACATTCACTTTGCTTGCCATATTTGATGAATACACTTTCTAAGCATCCTTCCCCCTACAATTTATATGTACATACATACATACATATATACTTATATATATATATATATATATTTTTTTTTTTTTTAGTTTTCTTGGCTGCTCTCCTGCACCTTATAAAAATGACTGGGCTTGGCAGATGATATATTGAAAAAGAAAAGCCTTGCTAAAATTGTCCTCCCTTTACGGTAGCGTTTAAAGCATTTTGCTAACAACACATCACATTATTGCAGGCCGTGCTTTAACTGACAACCACGGAAACACGCAGCATTGGAATCACTCAGTATTGGCAAGTTGTTTAACCCACCCTGTTAGCGGCTCACGCAGTGATCACCAAGCCTCAGATGGCAAAGGTTGCTGTTTCCATTTAGCAATCTTTTTATAGTGTTCTCCACTTCCTCGCTCTGCTCTGGTAGAGTCTGCTCTAGTCTAGAACTGGGGTTGCAAATTGTGTTTTTTTCTGACGTGATGCAATGCCACTCAAGATAGTTTATGCATGTATGGCATCTATCTGTACATTACTGACGTAGCATTCAAAGCAATTAGTAGCTTTCTCATTCTTATTTGGATGCATTCCATCAATAGGCAGAAGAAATGGAACATTTATTTTCAAGGTGGAACAGGCAGACAAACTCTGACCAACGTGGCAGCACTTTTTCACACAGTTCTCTTGCTGCAGTTTTAAAATCAAGCCTAATAAAGGTCTGAGAAGTGAACGCTAGACATGTTGAAGGCACCTATATTGAACCAAGAAACTGAAGGAACAAAAGAAACACAATTCTCTCACAATATTTACTTATCATTCAGTTTGTTGTGCCAATGTCCTAGATGGTTCTGAAATGACCACCAGTGCAAAAGAACTATTTCCCTTCCTCTCCTATTAAATAAATAGGATGATGTAGTCAGATGGGTTTGTGCTACAGCATGTATATAAGGATGCAGTCATTCTAAATGGGCAGAAGAAAAAAAAGAAAGAGTAAGAGAAAAACCTTGAAATGTTCTACTGGACAAGAGCACGTGACAGGCTTTCAGGTCTTGGCAGATTTACTTGTCGAGAGCTTTCCTTTTTTTTGGTGAAAGTGCTAAAATGGAAAACCTGAGCATTTTTCTCCACCAAACTCAAGGACAAATGCAGGTGGAAAACATGCAGTAGCAAAGCTGCTCAGAGCCTGAAACCTGGCTACACATTTATCCAGCTCCCAGGGATCCTGTTGCAGTGCTCCTGGGACTTGTCTGGGAAACGCCCTTAAAGGCTGCCTGCTAGAAAGTCTCTCCCTGCCTTTTGATGCTACCTGTGTCCCATTCTCCTATGCCTTGTGCCTTTCGTGCCCGGCGCAAGGGAGGCGCAGCTACTCGAGACCCTAAGCAGGCCAGCAGTGCCTCCTGCCTGTTCTCACGAACAGATGTCTACAGAAACATCCCGAGACTGGGGCCTGCTTCATGCAATTTGCATACATGGCTCAATGCATCGGTCGGTATCTCGAGAGCATTTAGCACCTTGGAAGATGCCATGTGTAATAATTCTGGATGTTTTTAAGCAACGTGGATTTATCAGTTACTGCAACATTTGCATAAACATGTTGTTCCACTATGCCTTTTGGCAGACTAACGCTGGGTCCAGATTTGTGGTCTGGCATGCTTCAGCATTTATAGCTGAATATTAAGTATAAAAACATACTTTATAGTAACAGGAAGGTTACAATTTTTAAATGTACTGAAAAGTCAGGAAATGTAGAAATTAAGCAGCTGCTTTTTGATCTCTTTTTTTACCAGTCTAAATCCAAAGTAGCTGGATGGAGCCACTCAGATCTGACATGGGGATAACTGCAGACCGGGTCTTGGTCCTGGATCAGTGTAGCAATACACGCTGCCCTGTGAGTCATTCTCTATAGGATGCCAGGAGAACAACAGCATTGCTCATTAAATGACCTGAAAACAGAGTTCTCTCAAATACCACCATCATCTTGGTCCTCTTTGGGACCAAAGCTGCCGACTCTACAGTTGGTAAATGGGGTGAGTTTATTTAAGTAAGTTCTCCCAAATCCTTTTCCAACAAAATTAGATTTCAGCTAGGTTAGCATTTTCACAAAAAAAAAAAAAAAAAAAAAAAAAAGTGCCAGGAGAATATTTGTCTATATTAAAACAGGGTGAATCACTGATAACAAATGAACAAGGAGATTCGCACTGCTGCTCAATCCCATGTGCCAGGCAATCTCAAGCATCTGCGTTGTCTTGCCTGCAGGCACCTCTATGCAAGCAAGTGCTGCTACCCTCCAGTCTGATGTGCTGCTGCTGTTTATGTTCTTCGGTTCATAATCTGTGACCCAAACACAGACTCACCCTATAGAAAACCCTACATGTCACAGGCTGGACAGACTACTTTCCATCGGCTCACCTGTGTTTGGTTTTGCTTTTTTTGTTAACTGAGCAGAGATGTTATTACATGCCCCAAATCTGCTTGGGTATCTTCATGGTTTGCTGACCTCCTTTTAGAAAACAATGATAAGACGTCTTTTCCTTGCACACTTTGCCCATATTGTAAACAGGATCTAGGCCAATCCTTTCCATCTGCTGATCCGTGCAAGCAAACAGCCTTGGCTTGCGAGGCAGTAAGTTTCTGGATGTCGCAGTTATTTCTGCAGTGATAGTCTGACCACGGCCCAGAACTTTTAAAGCTCTGTAATTAATATGCTGAGCTGCTCTCTTGCCCTGTTTCTTCTTTCATGTTTCATATTTTGATGAGGTAAAAGTACGTCACCGTGTGTAGTGAAGACATTAACCTAAATAATACATAATACTTATTTTCAAGTGAGAATAATGACAACAACCAACAATCTTAGAGCCACTGTCACTGGATTACTGAGGCTTTACTTATCAAAGAAGATGGGATAACTAAGACAGCAAGGTTTATATTGTTAATCTTCCTAAGCCTTTCAGCAGAATTTCTATTATTGTAATCAGATGCCACAGGTATTCCTCGGCTTGTCTATACCTCTTTAAGATATCATTACATTTCTCTGCTTTGAAATATGTGAGACCCTCAGGCAATTCACCTCTGTGTCTGGTTTCTGCTTGTATTTTTGCACTATGCAGCTGATTTGCTAAGAAGGTCCATTTTGAACGCAGGAGAAACACTGCTGTTTTGTTACCACATTAACCCATTCCGGATGACAAGTCCCTGTGTTATCAT